ACTTCCTCATACATAGCTGGTGGTATTCGCCTATGAGGTTGTTTGAACGGTATGTCGTCGGTGAGTCTAATCCTATGTTTTACCAAACTGACGCTCCCTATGTCCTTGTCATTCTGGGAAAATACACTGCCAATTCAACAAAAACTCTTTCAATTGACCCAACTTCTCATCTGACAATGCTGTAGATGCAAAGTCAATCTCATCCAAGAACGACCCTGACGATTCTTTAGGTCTATCAGTGGTTAAAGCATTAACAGATGCTCTCCTAACAATATCAGCAACATGCAACTCACACAGGACTGAGTGTGGGAAGATCCTGACTGGTGATAGGGAAAGGTTAGATACTCTAACAACAACTTGCTTAGCCACACCTGGATCTACCTCAATCAGAGTCGGAGTAACCTCCACACCAGCTTGAAGAGCTGAATCCTCCGACCTCTGAAAGAGAACCCTTTGCCTGCAAGGCACGGACAAGTTGCTAACCCTACCAACCATACAGAGAGTCTTGTTGCTGCCTATTGTTACTGATTTGTTCTCGCAGAACTTTACACACCCAACCTTACCAGACAACTGTCGTTCCTGTACTTGCATACAGTTGAAGGTAAATGACCAAACATCTGGTAAAGTGTAACTGGGTAAACCACTCTGTGTAAACTGCTCATTCAGTGGTTTAAGGACATTAGTGCCAAGTAGTACTGGTGTTGTCTTGTTAAAAGGTGTATCAGGTACAATTAGAAACAAAAATCCAAATCAATGGATCCTAGACCAGGAACCTTAAGTTTAACTGGAATATAACCCAGATAGGGTATAATGTCTCCACCTGTACCCTCAACTACCAGTATCTCGGTCAATGGAATCAAACTACAAGATTCTGTTTCCAGAAAATCTTCAAAATAAGACTGTGATATGGTTGAAATGGTAGACCCGGTGTCTGACAATCCTGTTGTCATACAACCATTAATCTCCATAGCTGTGGTATTACTGTGACCTATCAATTTCTTCTCATTGGGACTGGGTATCAAACTGTCAACTAATTGTCCCTCATTCGTGACACTTGCTAGTTTAAATCCTTCTTAGGATTTTTACACCCAATAGCCATATGACCAACCTGATCACAATGAAAACAAGTAACTTGTCTCTTCCTAGGAACAGAGGTCGAAGATTTCGGAGTAGATGTCTTGGGAACATTGGATTCCATTGCAAAAGATCCAGTTCCTGCCTTCATTTCCCTCACTTCTTTCTGCAGTGCACAGACAGTAGCAGACAAACTCTCTGAAGACCGACATTGTCCGTTCAACTGAGCCCCTTCACCCTTAAGTTCTTTAATAATTCCTGTCAATGATGTAATTAACTGCCTAAGGTCATCATCCGACTGTTGGACCATTTTACTATGAGTCTTGGTCTGTTTAGGAGTTTTACCCTCACTTGTAGCATCTTTTTCCAACTTTCTTACTTCTCTCAGGAGATCATCAAAATCAGTCAACCTGTCAAATTTATGAGCGGAACGATCCTTTAATTCCTGACGAAGTCCACTCCAGAACTTGACCCTCAACTTCGATTCAAAAGAGTCTGAGTCAACTTCACTCTCCTGACGTGCCTTATCTAATATGTCTTCAATCCTACAAGCCCACTTAGACACTGTTTCATCCGCCTGCTGACTTGCTGAATAAAACTGTGACAATAAAAACTGACCTTGCTCTACCTTACCGAACCTGCTCTCTAGCTTTTCCAACAGCATTCGAGTAGTTGCGGAATGACAAAGCCTCATTGCCACCCTTCCAGCTTCACCTTTCAGTGACATAATCACTGCAGTTTTTATGGCCTCAGGCGCATACTGCTTGTCCTTCAAGAGACTTCTCACCTCGAATTGCCATAAATCAAAGGGAGTATCCTTACTAGTAGGATCACCAGAGAAAGAGGAAATCCTGGGTGGTTGGGTATAAGTTTATCATTTTAGGTGATGTTACAGTAGGAGAGGCATCATGACTGGAATGTGATTGCTCCTCTTTCCTTACAGAATGAATAGGACTTACATCCTCAGGTATAACTCCCTGTGCCTTTAAATACCCAAACATCCAATCATTCAGCTGACCCGACGTCTGAGCCTTAAGTAACACTCCTATCATACCCATCCGGGTGAAAGAATCCACAAGGTGTTGCTGCTCCTCTGATAAGGGATCCAATAACTGAGATGGTAAATCCTAACCTCCAGAAGCCATGATGGAATCAATACAACAATGACAAACACAGAATACAAACACAAATAACAGTGATGTTCACAAGGTTACTGTAATAAACACAAAATAAGATCACCAATATCACAAACACAATCCACAAATATAAACAATATCATATATTGAAAACTATTAGCACAAACACTGAAATGAATACAAAAATAGAAAAATCACACAACACAGTCATAATAACTGAAATACAAAATCAATCAAATAAACACATAAACACTCACAATGCAGTATTGCGAACACAAGATCAAAGATATGACACTCAATACAAGTACAAACAAATACAACACCCACAGTGTAGTATTGTAGAACACAAGATACACAAATACAAATATATACTAACTTGGTGAAAACTACAATCAAAATGAATACCAAAACTCAAATCACAAAACGCATTCAACTGAAAAAAACAATCAACTCAAAACACAATCAGTTGTAAACACACTCAACTCAAAACACGAAACCCATAATACAATCAACTGAAAATGACAACACAGCCATAACCACTATCCACGTGCTTACTTTTGTTAGTAGATTGCAAATGAACTCAGTGACAAACAGAATTGAATAGAACAGAATATAAGAAACAGGGATAGACCAGAAATACACAGACCAAAAACTACGACAACCTAACTCAACTTCAAAATCACAAATGAAAATCACAATAAATTCAAAAACTGAATAAATGACCAACATACAATCACGAATTACAAACTGAAATACAAATAACAAATGTAATTAAAGTCCAAATTCAAAGTTCAAAACTAAAAAAAAAAAAATAATATTCAAAGTCAAACACAATTGAACACTAAAGTACGAGACAAACTTATTACCTTTCCTAATCTGAAAGAAATTTTATAATTAATTAGTGCAGCTAACCACCTGTGACCTGTAGCATCTAACTTGGCAGTAGTTAAGATGTATGTCAGAGGGTTATTGTCGGTATATGCAGTGAACTTTGAGTTAAATAAATACTAGTGAAACTTTTCACAAACCGCCCATTTCAGTGCTAAAAACTCAAGCTTATGAGTGGTGTAATTCTTCTCTGATTTAGACAGAGATCGACTGGCATAGGAAATTACCCTCTTATTACCATCAGTTTCCTGATAGAGAACAGCACCTAAACCGTCACCACTAGCATCAGTATGCAATATGAAAGGCTTAGTAAAATCTGCATAAGCTAGTATAGGTGGACTAACCAGTGCATCAATTTAAGAAAAGCCTGCTGCTGTTCTTCACCCCACGTCCACTTTGCTAATGCCAGAGTAGGAGTTTACTCTTACTAAAACTATAAAAATTTACACCTTATATTCGATTCGCCTCAACCTTGAGTCTTTTGTCGCACGATTCGATTAGGTAGATTAGCTATTTTGTGCGTTTGCGAGCCAGGACGATCAGTAGGCTTATCAGTACATTTGTGAGCCAGTTACCTAAACTGATTTGGCTTATCGTCCTAATCGTCCCAGGATGTGGTTAGGCGATTCGATAAGACTTTTCCAAGATGGCGGCACGTGGAAGTTGCTAATGTAATCAAAATAGCGGTCTTTCATTGGTTGTCAGCGGAGGCAGCCATATTGCCAAATCGCCGATTTGAAATTCGCATTTGTGGACCACTGCTAATCTAAACCAAATTACACCAAATCGTACTACCTAATCGAATCGACCCACAAAACGCCTTTAGTTATTAGTTTAGTTTAAAACCCCTTTATAGGGTAGGTTTCTTTATATTTCATCATTTCAATTAAGCTTGTGTATATTTGTCCCTATGCATAAGTGCATATATTTCATGGTTTAGGTGTTGATGTTTGCATATATAAACTGATTGTTAATGTTTTAATATATTAAGTAAAAGTATTGAGATTATTCTATTTTATTTGTATATGTGTTACCTGATTGTAATGTTATTCTCTGTACTTTCAGGTTTTTGTTATGATTAAACATCTATTACCTTGGTGTGGCTCTTTTATACCCCTATCACTCCTCCCTCGACAACAATGTCAAATTTATTCTTAAAACCACTTACAAATATCATATTGGAGAAACTCATTCAAATGATAATGATTATCCTTAAAAAAAAACATCAGTTTTTAGGACTCTCCAAAGGAATAGAGATATGTAGAATTCAGATGCAGAGTGGCATCAGGCATTTGTCTATTTATTCAAGGTTATAACATAAGATAAATTATTGTTATATAACCATTCATTTACTAAATCATGTAATGGCCTGTGTGTTGAATAGTGCTTGATATATTGTTACTAGATATATTTGAAGCATTGTATTTCTGTTGGCATGTTTATAAGTTATATTTATCATATTTATTTCATCAATACAACATTTTGTCCACTAATGACACACAATCACAATAAAAATGTATCATCTTCACCAACAAATTAATGTTCATCAATAGAGTACCATGTTCTGTCTACTTAAGATAAACAATCACAATCAAGATGTATCATTTTTACCGACAGATCAATGTTTATCTATAAAGTAACACGTTTTGTCCACCAATGATTTACAATCACTATCAAGATGCATTACCAAATACCTCTTTCTGGCATCTGTATAACACTGTACTTATTCTTTAATGATACTCAAAGCAATTTTAGTTATGTAGTTCATCAAAGATACAGTCTCAATTCAGATGTATCATCTTCACCAGTGAATTCAATACTGAGCTGTTGCTCAACCATTCATGACACAGAATTAAGTTGCACCACTTATACCAGTACTCATCCATACTTTTATGTGCTTGTTCAAGATGTGTCGTCATTTCCAAGGTATTCATCATACATCTCACGTAAATGAGTCAATAATTCATCAATTCCTATTTCATATTTACCAGATATACCTATTACAGGTAGATTTACATGTTCCCTAAGACTAACCAAATTGTCTTCAGCACCAGGTATATCTATTTTATTACCAATTACAGCATGGGATCTTTTTGACAAACCTTTCTGATACTGCTCTAACTCATATTTTAATAAATCTAACTGTGTCCATGGCTCTTCACGAGAAAGATCTATCACAAACAGTAAACAAGAACAACGATCTATATGTCGTAGAAAGTCTATTCCTAAACCTCTATTTTCATGTGAACCTTCAATCAGACCTGGAATGTCAGCAACTAAAACATAAAAGAGATAATTTACCAGCTGTAGTATAATTGTGGCTTCAAATAAGAGGTTTAGTGCCACCATTCAAGATGCTCATTTATAAAAGAGGTATATATACAATTTGTTAAACTATTGATGGGTTGATAGCCTTCAATTCTCACGTCTTTGAACATGAAAATATGGCAAAAACCCGGTTAGTCTCCATTCTAGGGCACCACAATAGAAACATCATTTGTAAAGTAAATGTTAAATTAAGGATAGGCTAATCATGGGGTGTAATTATAAGTGCAAGATACCAGACCTGATATTTGTTTTTGATCATCATATATTACCATGCCTATATGTGGGTTTAAGGTTGTAAAAGCATACTCTGCTACCTTGGGCCTAGCTCTAGATATAGCTCGTAATAATGTTGATTTACCAGCATTTGGAAAGCCTATCTAAAAAAAGTATAAAAATATTGCTGATTAATTATTAAGAACATCTTCAGACTAGATAATTAAATACCTGTCAATTACTACTAGAGCTTTAGAAATGAAAATCATGTTTAATAAGCATTTGTGCCGGAATAGATGTTCATCTAGATCACCTGCTGTCCCAAATAAACCCTTGTGGTTTCACAATCATTTTCCAATTTTAGTTTTTATTTACAGTTTTAGTACTGTATTAAATTCCAGTTTTTCAATAATCTCAAGATAGCTTGCCAGACAAGGTAACATACCAGCTGTCAGAAATGATAACAAAGTCTTTAGTGACTTAATGATGAATTTTCAAATTATCTTGAAAATATCTATAAGTCATGGCAAAAATCTTAAAACAGTTCATTAAATTATCACCAAATTCGAACATGAACAAGACGTACACACAAATGCAATGAGTCTGAAACCGTTCATCCAAATATTACCAATTTTAGAACTTGACGTAGATCTCATCAATATATATATGCATACCATGTTCCATCAAGATGGAATAAATACTGTTGTCTCTATCGTGCCTACAAGCCAAATTTGACGCAAATTTGAGGGGAACATACTCAAAAAAAATTCATCTGATTGTTACCAATTTCGAACTTGAGTGTTATCTCATCAATATATACATACATGCCAAGTTTCATGAAGATCGGATAAAAATTATACACTACACTACACTACTATGCCTACAAGCTAAATTTATCAGGTTTTAACGCAGTCAAGGCCAATAACTCCAAAACCATTAATTTGATTGTAACCAATATCAGACTCAACCACAGACAGGGGCATATAAAATACCTACCAATCCAGCATATGCCATAGTATTCATGGCTACATGTACAACTCTCTCTTCTCCTTTAGCACCATTTTCAGCGATCCTGGGAGTAGTAAAAGTGCTAGAAGCAAAGAAAGCATTTCCTTTTCCACCAGCCCCCCCTCTACCAGCAATAAAATAGCCATCTAGATTATCTAGATAACATAATGTTTCACCAGTTTCTGATTTCAACACTGTTCCTAATGGCACCTAAAGAAACACATAAAAGACTTATCAACTGATAGAAAACAGGCTCAACTAGGCCTTAAATGTTTGTAACTAAATAATTTAACTTAGAATCTTGTATCTTAGTTTCTCTTAAACTTTGAATTATTCATATCATCATATACAATCAATGTGATGATTTTTATAATATTTGATAATGTTTTATAATGTCATTGGAAAGCAAAAAGCCAGCTAATACAATAAATTTACATAGAATAGTTTATTTCAAGGATTAAGCAGAAAGGTAATGATATTTTGCTTTGTCTACAATAATAGAGGTGCTACTATGTCAATATGACCACAAGGAAATGTAATTATCAAGTAATTCTTTTATATCTTTGAACTAAATAAAGCATCCTATCTAATCATATGTAACCCAAAAGTATATACTATCTCAAATTTTTTACTAAGTTAAGGACAATAAGCCTGAAGCCATTATCCTATAGTTACCAAATTCCAACTTGACTGAGATCTTATTAATATATACATGCATACCAAGTTTCATCGAGTTCAGATAAAAACTGTAATCTCTATCAAGACTACAAGAAACGTGAACGAACAGAAGGGGACACCGACAATATACGTCGGTTGTTCACGTTTTACTGTAAAAAACTCGATGCCTTAGGTCACAGGGTTAGTAGCCTCAAAGCCAGGTTTTTGTACCCGACCTCTCTTTGTATGACTATGAATATGACGCCATAGCCATACCAAAATTGCAGATACTTTCAAGCCAAGTCAATGAATGAAATGAATCACTGAAATGAGCACATTAAAAAAGTACAAATTAAATAGATATATTTAAAAACTCACTTGAATATAGGTGTGAGGAGCATTTTTACCATGGCAACATCTATTAGCACCCTTTTTACCATTTTTCCCTTTCATGATAGGCCATAAGTGAGATAAGGATTTGACATTTGTACTTGCTATAAAAAAACACAATATCAATTTATTAGATTGTCGGTTAATTGAGTTATCTAATTAATAATTTTGCCATATTTATATAATATCAAAATAAAATTGGATATTTGCAACAGAAATAATGATACGGAAAAGAAAAGATTGCTGCACAATTTCTCAGCCAATAACCTGTCAGTGTCAGTCACAAGTTAAAATTGTTGAGCAAAATAATCCTAAAGTTATTAGATTTTACTCAAACGTTAAATTCTGCACACAATGCTTTGAGGAGTAAATTTGTTAGAGAAGTCAATGACATGCAATACCTTGAAATATTACATGGCCTCCATTTCCACCATTGCCTCCATCAGGACCAGCAAATTCATTTTTATCAACTCTTGATAATGACATACAACCATTTCCCCCAGCACCACCAATAACTTTAGTCTTACAGTAATCAATAAAATGTTTAACCTGGAAATAGCAGCATGACCAGCATTTTACTTGGTTATATCACATCGCTGAACTACTTCACAATATTGGTCTACCTTTTCGAGTAACTTATGTTTTGATCAAAATATTAACAAGGTATATATTATTAAAATTTTACAGGGAAATAAAGTATGGTTACTATGCATACATTTAAAAACTTGATTAGGGAATTTTCACATATCTAATATTAAGGAGTCAGCCTTAAACAAGGTTTTATTTTTAGAGTTTTTTAGGACTTATTTTTTCTACAAAATGGTTGGGAATTTAATTTACAATTAGGTGTACCAAAGGGAGATGTGATTTTTGAACAATTTTTGTTATTATGAAAGTGACACATACTCATTTGAAGCTTGATGTTGATAAATGCAAAATAGTCACAAATGCCACGTATTTTGAAAAAATACATGAAGGAATAACTGAAATGTTTTGAGAATACAATTATATTAATATAGAATACCTTAGTTTCAACTCCTTTTGGCTTGTGAGGCTTCAAGGCTTTCGCTGTGTAATCAAACACTTGCACACCATTTCTTACTCTGACAATTAGGTACTTAAAGTATTTGTTACTAAACATCTTCTATTCCAATATCTAGAAAAATTGTTTAAAAATGTATTTCCATTAGCATGTAATTAACTTTGCCAAGTTTCTTTTCATATGAAAATAATTACTGTTTGTCTGCAATATTAACACTTAGCAGCACTGATTTTCATCAATCGGCTTTGGGTTGATGAAAATGTAGACCAATGAAACAATTGATAATGTGAAAATATGATTTTATATCATAACTATCCATCAATTTATACAATTTAAAATAATATTTATTGATCTCAATACGGCCATCCCTGATAATGAATAATTGAATAATATTACAAATTTTTGTCAATATCCACAAACATATTTTTTAACAAAGTCAAGGGCAACTCCAATACAGTTCTTCAAAAAATCTGACAACATTGATATAGATGTTTACACCAAATTTCACTAATATCAGATAAAAAAAACTGTGATCTCTTTCATGCTCACAAACAAATTTTGATGTGTTTTCACTAAGTCAAGGGCAATAACTAAAAAAATGTTCATCAAAAAAATAATTAAGTTCAACTCGTTCATGCATAACTGCATGAGAGTAGAATGAGAAAGGCTGCTTATGTAGATCTAGGCCTAATTACTAATTACTAACATCATATGGGCTGATAGACACAATACTGACACTTGTTTCAATCACATAATATTGAACTTGAAGTGTGATTAGATCACCTTATCAACGATGTTGACAACAAACGAGCACGTCACCCTCTGAAACTCAAAGGTCTACTTTCAATTTACACTTGACTAGGGTAAAGGTTCAAGGTCGTATCAAATAGAAAACTCTTGAAATGAAAAGATTAGGTAGAGTTTATTATCGATAAAATTATTTTATCTGTTACAAATAATTACATATTAGATTTAGATCTATACGAATTTGATAAATGTAAAAATTATTTTTATGATATTCTATTTTAACTAATCAAAAGGGAACAGAATTATTTCTGCCATTAGGCATTAGGTGAGAAATACCGGAAGTTAATACATTGGTTGTCAAAAGAGAAGAAAACAGAACTGAAAATGGGCATTCAGTCAGAGAAAGAGATACAAAAACATTCTATGACAGAGGATGATCCAAATTCAAACATTCAGTACTCCGAAGAAAATGACATTGTTGGAAAACCACGTTGGGGGCCTTCACACGCTGGAGCAAAAGAATTAGCAAGTCAATACACGGCAGGTAGGCTAGAAAAACTTGTTTTGTGTTCTTTGCTTTATCATTTATGTAAGTAGGGCCTCTCCTCTATATTATAGTTGAACCGTATAATTCAGAACATGATTCCTCTCATATCCTTCTTGTATTGAAGGTTTTTGATCTTAAAATGTCTTAATGATAAAGTAATAGAGTAAGCTTAAACTTATTGACGTTTAGATGGGGGTTTTCAGTCAACTTGTCTCCATGCGGGTCCATGTCAACTCATGGACAGTTAACTCGTCAACAACCTTCAGTTAACTTGTCAACAACCTTTAGTTAACTCTTCTACACAAATTATTGAAATAAAGATGTTATATTGAAAACTAGGGGTGGTTTTGTTTTAATAACGATCAAATGATCGAAAATTTATAACTAGTGACAATTCCTTCAAAGAACAATAGTTTAAAAAAATATAGTGGCTGACAAAATTAGATAAGTAAAAAGTAAGAGTGATTTATTTCTATAAGTCACTGAAACAACATAAGAATATGGCCCACATTGTGTTCCATAGAATCCTGACACGGAATCCGCTAGTTTGTCAAGTGACTTCGTTTACTGATATTTGGTAATAACCAAAATCTGCCATTTTGTATGTGAAAAATAAATGATAAATTTGATGTGGCTTTGAAATGACAAGAAAATATTCTGCAGGTTGACATGGTACAGATAACCCATGTTTATCAAAACATGCAATTGTAGAGGTATTTGAGGCTGCTTTTCCAATTCTAATAAAAGTAATGGACAAAATTTTACTTTACTCAAACAACAAGTGCCAATGTTGATTCTATTTGAATATTGAACATAACCTGATATTTCTTGTATTAGAAAAATGAAAAAAAAAACAAATTGTACTCTGATCTTTAATAAGATTGAATTAAAACACTAACAATATATATAACCATATATAACTAAAAACAACAAACAATGAGGTAGTGGAGACTTGTTTTTAATAATAATTTACTGTAAGCTAATCAATATATTTAATATGAATATGGATGCTTTGTGTTAGCTGTTTTTGTAAACATGTCTGATGGTTTGTTATTTTCATTTTTTAGGCAAAAGAAGACAAGAGATTGTTTGTGTTGTGATTAGTATAGGATTGTTTCTCTACTGTTTTTATAATTTATGTACAACATTTAGATTAGACAATGTTTATACAGTATTAATATCAGCAGGTATGTATATTATCATCATCTAAAGCATTACTACTTTTATTTCTTTAATTGTATTGTGCTTCTATTTGAATTGTAGATCCCCAAGATGTGGCAGGGTGATATTGGGTTATTTGAAATTGAATGTTCATGACTTACGAGAATATTCAGGGCTCTTGACTACCCACCTGAATATTTTTACGAAATCTGAAATTATTGAAAAGTTCTGTGAATACTTTTTGTAAATATTTCCTATTGACTGGTATAAGGCTCTTTCTTTTGTTATATTATGTTTATTTCTTATATTTATTATTGGATATATTTTTATTGATAGTGCTTGGTATTGTAACAGCAGATTTTATGAGTGGTTTAGTTCACTGGGGTGCTGATACATGGGGATCTGTAGATCTACCAATAATAGGAAAAGTAAGTAGTTGAAGGATTTATTTGACTTCTATTATTGTCTGAAAACTTTTGGAACTATAATCAAAACAAAGTGAAATTGGATGACTTATTTGCATACTTCTATTAAGCTTTTCTTCTGGGTTGTCAACATATTATAAGCAAGTTTTGATTGCTTTCATCTGGTTCAACGCGACAAAATTGGCAGAATTTACATGTCCACAGATGTAACTTTCATTGTAAAAAAAGCGGCTTTAGTGGTATTAATTTTAAAAAATATTATTTTCAGACTTTACTTCGTCCATTCCGAGAGCATCATATAGATCCCACTTCAATCACGCGTCATGATTTTATTGAGACTAATGGAGATAATTTTGCTATTGTTATACCAGGATTAGCTTATATAGCTTATGGCTTCACATTTCATAGTCTTGAGGTTATACAATCCAATACTAATACATATTGGTATATATTCTTATTAGCAATATTTATCAGTATTACAAACCAGGTAAGATCATCTTGAGTATAGATTTAGCTAAAAATATCATAACAACCTGGAACAATGTTACAATCAAACTAGTTTCTGATAAAGCAGTGTTCAGTCACAGTGAACATGAGCTGATAAATAAACTAGTCTGTAAACAATTAAAGAATAATCCTTCAATGGCATATAAGAAGCACAAGTTATAGATGAAGTTGTGAGAACCACATTGAAACGTTGAAGTAATAAATATTCCAGAAGTATATATCCATATAATTGTCTTATTTATCAATTAAAGAATGTTCTCTATGATAATAATGGTAATGGCATATTAGAAGCACAAGTATCAGAAATATGGATTTTGCAATGGTCTTATTAACCCATATTAAACTAAGACCACTACACTTTCATTTGTTGGCATGGAAAGGAGATTGCAGCTGTTTAAATAGGAAATGAGTCATGTAAACAAAACACAAAATCAATTTGCTGCCGCTCATTTGAAGGGATAATAACACATTCTTTGCTAGTAGTATTTAGTAATACTAAAATACATTAAATAGTAAGGTTTGAGTTTTTATCGACTTCAATTCTTTATCGAAAATGTTATGTAATTCTGTACCATCCATATTAATCAAAACATTTGATGACACGCTGCTTCGTAATGAGTGATTTGTTTTGATTGGCTGAGATTATACTAGCAAGACAGCAGGGCCAATTTTGATTGGACAATATTTATCTATGAATACATACTTTTAAGATAAATCAGACAATTATTATGGATGGCTACTTCTAGAAATTTTATTACAATATGCTACATGTTATTGTTTATTTCAGTGTCATAAATGGTCCCATACTTATTTTGGACTTCCGAGATATATCACCATATTTCAAGATTTACACATCATACTACCCAGAAAACACCATAGAATACATCATGTATCACCACATGAAACTTATTTCTGTATTACCACTGGTTGGCTGAATTATCCATTAGAGGCTATACGATTTTGGCCAGTATTGGAGAATGTTATTGAAAAATACACTGGATGTAAACCAAGAGATGATGATTTGAAATGGGCTAAAAAATCTTAACCACTGGACTCTTGTGTCACAAGAAGTTGAATGATATTTTGTCAATCATTTACTTAGATATCAACTTCAAATTAATGGTTGTCCTAGATTGCCTTTCCAACTGATTTCTTAAAGGACTTTTTACCATTGAATATGGGTTTACAACGAGTCACTAATACAGCTAAAACTTTTTAATATTTTTATTATAACTTGCAAGTTGCATGCTATATTTCTGACTCGTAGACATTTAAAAACAAATTACATGATTGTGATATATATATATTGAACAGTTTTAAATTATAGACAAAATATTATTCAGTTTACAGTGGTCAGAAGATGATTATTGAAAACTTTAGAGCTTCAGCGAACAATTTTTATATAATGGTTCTTTTTTGAACAATGTTGCTTGTGTCCAAAATGATATATATTGCTTGCCTTAAAGTGTTGCTTGATCTTCCTTTTTTATGACTTTACCTAGGACATATATTTTAGGGAGATTTGAAATATATTTGAATTTATAAAATGAAATATGCTTCACAGGCAGTTGTGTATTTCTGATATCCAACCTTGATTTAAAAAAATAAAGAAGCCCATTATTTTGAATATTGGAAACCAGTGCCTATTATTTTCCACCTTTTGAATACACATACCATCATAATGAAAAAAGACTGTATCGGAAATTTATTTTTTCTATGAGATATGTTAAAGGCTAATACTATTGTCTGTAGGAGGAGGACTATATTTGTTATTTGTTGAGTATTATGTAGTTTTATCATTGTTATGATATATATGGCCTTCCCCTGTTTTCTAATCAAAACTATATATTTTACTATTAGATGAAATGTTTATATAATTGTTTGGTTTAAGTAGATGTTAGTGTGTGTAGATGAGTTATAGCTTTTTACTGTTCTTAGTTTTGCTAGAACAATCCCTCTACAACATCAAGGTCATTCAATGTTGCCTTTGTCCTATTAGATGTTATTTGTCTGTTTCTGCATATTTATTTGTTGATATAAATGAACAAATTTTTCACTCCGGAATTTTCAGTGCACACAGATAAAGCTTTCCACATGTTAGCAGAATATTGTCTTTTGATCTTTTTATCTGGAAGTTTGGATTTTGATGGTCTCAAACAGGTTGTTGAACTTTTTATCAACTAAGTTTTAATTTTAGAAAATTAAAAACATTGCAATAAATATCAAGTAGGCCTATATTTTGATAGTCATCTGCAAGGTGATGGGTTGCTACTGTGACTGGGTATTACTTGTAATGTGTTCATGCTTGGCTGTAGTTTTCCACAGTCACAATTACCTCCCTTTTTATTATCAATATGGACAAATATCTATGTTGTCATTGCCAATGCAAAACAACAATTTCATAAAAAAAAAAAAAGCAATTTCAATGTTGTATTATGTATCATTGAAAGGTTCTGAACTGGTTCAAACCAGATAAAATTTATCATGGCCACAAGTTTAAGCAGGACATTCTTTAACAAATTGATATTCCTTTTTTATGTCATTAATGATAAGGTTATCTTATGTACAGTTATAACTATTTGAGATGAATAGGCATTGGTTGTCTCCTCAAGATCAAACTGATTATTTTCATTAGAATATTGAAATAGATTTTGAGAACCTCAAAATTCTCAAATGTTTCCTGAAAATTGTGAAATTAAGTGAAAGCACACAATTTATGTTTTGCAAACAATGTGAAAACTTTTTAGCATTAAAGACATTTTTCTGTTCTGTTTTATAATTTAGCTTTTATTGTGTATGACTGTATTTATTGAGAAACTGATAGAATGTCTTTTATTCTTCTTACAATTGTGTTCTTACTTTCTTCACTAGTCAAATTCTACTTTGACCTTAACAATATATATCTGGAGCTGGAGAAGATTTTTAGTCATAATTTTGAACTTACTGTGAAATCCACCAAATTTGCATTTCAGACACGGAGCAATACATTCAATCTAATGTCCATGAATGTCAACACTTCGTTGCGTTTATTTATAGCAAAATAGATCAGCGAGTAGTGAAAATTAAGATTTTTCTTTTTTTGGCAGGGATTCGATTGTCTGTCATGAACTGTTACACGTACATAAAATCATTATGTACTGCTTGCTGGTGGTTGTAGTAAAAATTACAGTCCATGATGTCATCTTATTTCTTCATCAGAAATGGTCTGGTACAGTAAAAATTGAATTCCATCTTTTACTGTCAGTTCCGTATCCCATCTTAGTGTCTGTGTTTTATTTCCAAAAAATTGCTCCCATTACTTGAACAGATTAATTGCATCTTTTATAAGCCCATATTATAATGTGGCCGAATATTGTCGTTGCCCCTGTCCATCCGTGAACAGTCTGATTTGAATGCAATTTGTTGTGATCATTTGTATTAATGAGATCTTGGACAAGTTCGAATATGACGATGAACAGTTTTTGAGTTATGAAACGCGTAAAAATTGTGACCACAATGGAGACTACAGTTTTCATCCAATTTATATGAAATTTGGTGTGAATATTCATAATAATGAGATCTTGGACAAGGTTGAATTTGGCTATCTTTCGATGAACGGGTTTTGGGTCATTGCCATTGACTTATGAAAAACGTGTCAAAATTTGGTTGTGAACAAAATAGAGACTACAGGTTTCATCCAATTTAAATTTGGTGTTAATATTTATAATGATACGATCTTGGACAAGTTCGAATTTGGCTATCTTTCAATGAACGGTTTTGAAGTTATTGCCCTTGACTTTTAAAAAACGCATCAAAATTTCTTTGAGAACACAATAGAGACCACTATGGTGGCCCATGAGCGCCATAGCTGTTTTATTATTTTATTTATGAAAAAAAATGAAAGTAAAATGAATTTAAAATCAAAATGAAAGTGAAATAAAAATGAATTCAAATTAAAAAGAATATTTTTTTCATAAATAAAATAATAAAACAGCTATGGCGCTCATGGGCCACCATAGACCACAATTATCAATTATAATGATGAAATCTTAGACAAGTTCGAATTTGACGATCTTTCGATGAAAGTTTTTGAGTTATTGCCCTTGATTTATGAAAAACGCGTCAAAATAGAGCGTACAGTTTTCATCCGATTTAAATGAAATTTTGTATAATCATTTATAATGATGAGATCTTAGTCATGTTTGAATTTGACAATTTTTCGATCAACGGAATTTGAGTTGCAATAAAAAAAAATTCGTCAGGAAATGTCAGAAAATCGCGTTTCCGGGCCTCTAATTCTCAAAATTTTATAAGCATTTCCATCAAGATTATTTGTATTAGGTCTGAGGGATCTCGCCTAGAAAATTTTGAGAATTAGATGCCCCCAGGACCCACGGTTTATTGCAGAGTTATTGCCCATGTGTCGATGAGACCTTGTTCATGTTTGGATTTGATGGTAATTTGATGAACTGTTTTTGACGTTTTGCCTCGACGGCGTTACTTCACTTATGTACCTCTTTATGATCTCAATTCGAACATCTTCGTCGTATTTTAGTAGGATAAAAAATTGAGATCATAAAGAGGTACATAAGTGAAGTAGCGCCGTTTAGGGCCCATTATATAATAATATCTAATTCTTCCTAGGGAGATTTCCAACCGTTGACTATTATTACATTATTTGACATAATTCTCATGTGTTTTGATTGGATTTGATCTGCAGATCTTCATGATAAATTTATATTTGATCGCAAACAGCGATGCGAAACCCTTTAAATTAGACTCTGTAATGAAAATGATGATTGCTCGAAAGTGCCAAAAAGAACCTCTTTTTCAACCAAATGCAATGCCTTTTGAAAAATCTTAATGTTTGTGAGTTGATACCAAGGGATGGTGTTAAAATTGGTGATTGTTAACAGCATTAATTTGGCATATAAATTTCGAGTTGCATATTGTCAGGCCCATTCTACAGGCTATAATTCTTTCAATTTTGATTAATATGTCTTGTAGCTAAGTAAGAGCATGCCCCTCGCCAGCAAATTGTTTTTAGTTTTATGTGCAAAAATGCTTTTCCTTTGTCAAAATGTAACTCCATTACTTTCGAATTTTAATTTTCAAAAATCAGCACAGTTTCGAAAATAATTGGTGGTGGCCCCCTATATTCCAAAATATTGCAGTCGCCACTATCGGACATTAGAAACGGATGTGATACCGTCGCTGTGTAGATATCACATCCGCTTATCTGAGGTAAGGCCAGTGTTGCAAGTGTTGTTGGGCTATTTTTATTCCATTAATATACACACTACAATCTATCATTCAACAATGTTGACAATTCAGATGAATATATGAATAAGATGACAACTATTTGGGGTTTCTGGTAGCATCTTGATACTTCTCTAATCTGCTTTAAAGAAAACACTATTGCATTGATGCAGCTTTTCCATTCACACTTTAAAAATGAGAAAGTATTAAGCTACACCTCGACTTCGTTTGTCTAAAGCATAACTTTTTTTTTCCAAAATGGAAACCATAATGTGTTCATCTCAATTCTCTTTAAAATGTATGAAATCGACTAAAAATATCAGTAAATAGTATTATATTTTATTTGAGAAAATCCACAATTTTTACAACAAACATTTCTAAAATTCTATGTTCAACTTATTTTACGGCTCTTCAATTTTTTGAAAAGTAATTATTATTGGAAGAAGTAGTTTCATTTAACTCCAGATATTGTAATTGGTGACGTCAGTATGAGCATGTATACCTGGATCCATTCCTTTCTCTCTTATCATATTCTCTAAATTTTCTACATTAGCTTTAGACAGTCGTAAATAACGACATTCTAAGATACTAACGGGATCAAACGGTATTTCTGCCTTGACACGAGGACGCAACTCTTCAAGTAGTTGTTCAAGATGTTGAAGCCTTCTTCTGTTATGTCGGCTGGCGTAGTTAGAAGCTCCAACTTCTTTTCTGAAATTCAAAATACAGTCAACACAGCTAAGGAATTGGCCTACCAAAGATACTCTTTTGTCTTACAAATGATAGGGTTTGTTAATCTTAAGGCTTCCGAAATTCCATATTATTATACTCAATTCAAAAGTTTTTCTTCACCATCGTGGTATAAGTTGTCCAAAAAGGTAGTCATGATGAAGGGTAGATGAACGGTTGTAATTTGTTGGCCTCTCAGTAAAACCACTGTTATAGTTTGTCAATAATAGCCTAAGTATTATGCTTACTTTCGCTGTTTTGCTTCTTTAACAATATTTTCTAGGTCTCGAAAGGCGTGTTTATCTATCTCTGGTAACTTATCCACAGAGTTCCTATGTCTCCTTGATTCTGACTGAAACATTATGGCATTTATGCTCGATATCATATATTCTTGTATGTGAATTATTTTCCGTGGCCTAAGTCACTTCATGACTATCATCACTAGAAACTTTTAATATTCATTAATCGATATGCACAAATTACCGAATGATTGAACACTTATCGATTGATTTCCAATAACTGGTTGAAAATTACTTCGATGTAATTACTCTTACCAGTAATTAACAAAAATGGTGCGATTAGGCCAAAACAATATTCTATGTAAATTTATGTGGTGGTAAGATTATTTATAGGCTATATACTCTGGTTACTATCCTTATGGTGACCAACAAGATGCTATTGCTTCAACACCTTGTGGAGTTTGGTTAAACAAATAAATTAAAAAAAAAAAAATTCTCCTGTCAGCTTAAGCAATTGCTATCTGTCAACTCGGGGCAGGCGATATACACAATTAGCTCAAATAGATTATAACGAACCTGCATAGATGATGTAGAATTGTTTTCAGAAAATCTTGGTGATGGGTCATGAACAGTTGTTATTTTTTGTATAGCTTCATCATAAATATTTCTCATACTTGATGTGTTATTCTTTGAAACTCGACTATGACTACCTACAATGTAAGATGTAAGTCTGTAATATTTTGTATAGATTTCAGTATCCCTTTGTCCATGGTGGAACAAATACGTGTAGTTGAATTGAGCTATGTCAGATGGAATGTAAATACTTGAAATCAAAAGTGAAAATTGATGTATGTTTTAAATGTCACCAAAAAGAAATAAAAAATAAAATAATCTCAATCTTGTAGCGATATCAATGTCTTCAACACTAAAAATCAGAAAGATGAGCAAAGCAAAATTTCATTGTAAAGATCTAGCAGTTAGTACGAAATATACAAAATAAAAGTTTATTTGACTATACCTGGTGAGCTTACATGATCATCATGATCATGGTCATCTACTGTTATAGTAGTCATTGGAACATGGAGATGAGCCATAGCTTCGTTCAAGTTTTGTATTTGTGGAAGCGTAAGCTTTACTGATGTCCCTGAAAATCAATGGTCAAGATTTTTAAACTTCCAAATATATGCAATTGAGGTAAATATAATATCGAGAAGCCCAGTTTGTTGTAGCCCATGTAATTAAGAAACGTTCATTTATACACGCTACGGTATGGGAATGTTACAAGTTTCAGTCACAGTGGTATAATTATGCTAATTACAGAAAGCAGTCATTGATTTACCAATCTTTTCTCAGTTTGTAATATAGAGAAAAGGGCCAATGAGAAACAGTGTTTGTGAGTGGTATACCATTGTTCATACTATATTTTATATATTTCTGATATTAAGACTACGAAGCAACACTCACCCCCATCATTGTGTACATCTTGATGTTGTCCAGGATTGTGCTTAATATTAAGATGTGCAACAGCAGGGTTGAACTGGCTTGCTGGATCGTGCTGAATAGGGTGCTGACCAGAACGATACACTCGGCCACTTCGTTGTGGAGGAATACTCTCGTTATTTGCTTGATGATGATCACCAATTTTCATTTTTGAACGGACCATTTTCCGAGAACTATGCTGAGCATCGGGATGGTGGCTGGGTGGACCATGCCGACCACTGGTGTCATGATAGTTAGAGCGTGATGGCTTGTGATGGGATTGTTGACTGATATTATCACGCTCATAGTGTGAGGCATGACCGCTGCAAAAAAATAAAAATTAAATGAATAAATATTATCATCATATTCATATTCATTTGTACATTGACATTTTTCAAATGAATAAACTAAACATGTAAGTTGCCAAAGATCCCTACACTGCGTAGGAAATCGAATTAGGGTCTGGAAAAGTGAATTGCAATATACTTCTCTTCAATTAAACAGTATAACGTCGAATTTGCCTTGCCCTTTTTATACGCCCACATGAAATGGAGGTGGGGGCGTATATTGTCGTCACCCCTTCCATCCGTCCGTCCACAGTTGCTCGTAAACACTCTACAAGACACACTTCTCGATTGCTTTAGACGAACTTGGTATGGTTGTTTGTAAACACCCAAGGATGAACCCTATTGAAAATCACAAAAAATCGAAAAATATTAAGTATGAGTAATTGCCCTTGTTCTTAAAACGCTCGTAAACACTCTAGAAGGCGCAATTCTTGACAGATTTTGATGAAACTTGGTGTTAGGGTGTATTGAGACGAGTCTCAATGAAAGCACTGGCCTAAAAGTGAGTGTTTGTTATCACACAAGGATGAACCCTATTTAAAACCAAAAAGATAAAAAAATAATTAGTATGAGTTATTGCCCCTGTTCTTGAAACGCGTTTTAGCCTGTAAACACTTAAGAAGGCCCAATTCTTGACAGATTTTGATGAAACTTGGCAATATTATTTAGTATCGCCTCAAAAAGTTCAAAAGAAGTGTATGTCTGAAGGTTGAATATTTCATACTTTTCATATATTTCAATTGTTACTGTACTGCCAAATATTTTTATCAAAGCTGCCAGTGGGCGTATATTACTTTGCCTGGCAAGATATCTTTTAAGACTGATAAGAGTTAGCTGGAATTAGGTTATATTCTTATAAAATAACTAAAAGAAAATATATTATTATTAAATTCCTACAGGGTCTGTGTAACTTACCCTAGCCGACTGGGTATCGGGGTAGCACCATTGACAAACATCTGTAATAAAGAGATCGTTCATATCATGGTGGTTTTTAAAAAGCATTATATTCCACGATCTTGTAAGAACATAACATAATAGGTTATCGGCAAAATTCGACTGTTCGGCCTTTACCTGCAATCTAATCACAGATGCATTGGAAACATCTTTGAAGCGAAGCAATAAGATTTCTGCCACGTACTATTTGGCAGACTCTTGTAAATTTCTTGCAAAGTCTGACTTGTAGCTGCAAAATGTATCTGTTTAATAATAATTAATAGTCATACGTTGACAGTGTAAATAACGTAGCCTAACGAAAGCATACAGATACACGGAATTAGTTCTGATACTAATTCTTAAGATGAAGAAATCCTCTTAACTTAGATTTCGTATTACTCTTCACAGCCTTTAGTCGTTCTAAACTTTTTCTCATTTTAGCTTCTTCTCGACTGAAAGTGAAAATAAGTAAAGCTGTACAAAAACAGATCAAATTGAATATTCATGTCATTTAGGCGGTGATTTGAATGATGGATCCTTCCTTCTGAAGCATAAATCATCTAATCTGTCGCCTAAAGTTAAAGAGAACAATATTACTGTTGTGTGCTTGTTATTTCAGAGCTAAAGCACTACCGACTACACCCTGTAACTCCTTTGCTATAATGAAAATGTGAAAAGTGAGTATTGAAAAGGAAATTTAATGTTTTAGACTGGATGTATTACCTGAGTTGTCTTTGACAATCACCCGAGACTTTTTCTAACCATTTCTCTTCTTTCTTTAAAGCACGATTAGCAACATAATTTGGTCCTAATCGATTTTCAGTCAGACACACTCGACCTCCAAAGTTTTGCATTCTGTCTGTATTCGATTCTGTATGATTAAGAATGGTCTAACTCTACGTTTCCATTGTGACAAACAATTTTGCGAATACGTCACAATAGGCTTGAAATAACGTGATGCTACGTGACTTACAATTAATTGAAAAACACCCAAAGCCTTTAGGTCTAATCTTTGGTAGGTTGTTCATTCTTGGACTGATTTTGGAAGTATTTTTTTTTTTGTATTATTCCGTTTTGGTCTTATATACCAATAATGAGATAATTATTTGATTAGCGCGTCATAGTTTATTATAGTATTATTAACCTAACCGGCTAACCATTGATTTACGTAGATATCACTAAAAATCATTTGCAACTTAAACTGATTTATACGCTTGGCGATCTATAAAATTGTATCCTTAAACAATTATCAATGTTGTTAAAAACATTTAGGCTAATAACAAGTTAGCGCGTAGATCTGTTACAATAATTACTCCCGGTCAATTATATTTCATCCGAAACTAAATGCTCCCTTTAATCTTCAATATAGAAATAAAAAAGGTCACCGGATGTATCCATTGTAAACAGAAATATTTTCAAGATGAGCCGAACGGGTTCTGAAATAAGAAAATCGTAAGTGCTCTCAATGAATTTGCTTGTTTTTATCGAATGTTTGTTGTGTATAACGTATCCGAATTTCATACAACAACAAAATTTGATTCCTTGTCAGATTCCTTCTTTTTTTTACATAGTCGCCTCTGACCTGTTGATCACAGTTTTGTGACTGGCTGACTGGGTTTATCGAGTTTCTGTAAAATTCAAGCTGTCAAGCTTTATTGTTAGTGTTAACATGTTACATGCATGTGAGAGACCTTGTCAGGTTGCAATTTAATGAAGAATAGGCTAAAACAACTAACTCGGCACTAATTCCTTCAGTGCAGGCTACACTGTGGTGTCACAAGTAGCGTACAGTTGTGTAACCTATTTTCGTGGATATAAGGATTCAACACCGAATTTCGTCAAAGTTAAAAAAATGAAAAAAAAATTTATGTCTTAGATGTTTCCTCAGATATCCTACAAAATAATTAAAATTGGTTTATTTCGATTTTCTTTATAAATCCTTCACTTTGACCTATATTCCATGAGCAACCAACTCGGCAACGGCGGCAATATGCGTCACCTATTTTCTTGTACAATGTTTGATCTATAAATAAGTCTAGAAAAACACGTTGTATGGATATCGGGTGGTATAATTAACTTCTCTTAGTATTTATCTTTAATATCAATTCATTATAACTAGTGACAATTCCTTCAAAGAACCACAATTTCAAAAAAAAATAGTGACTGACAAAATATGATACGTAACGTGATTTATTGCTAAAAGTCACTGAAACAACATAAGAATATTAATTTTCTGCTGACACGGAATCCGCTAGTTGATCACGTGACTTCATTTGTTGGACTACATTCTAGCAGACGACACTTGGAATTCCGATTACCGCTTGGGATTATAAAGAAATTCGGCCGATAAAAAATGGTGACGTTTGTAATAAGTGAAATCCGCCATTTTGTATTTGTCAAAGTATACATTAATACATTTTACATTGCTTGAAACTACTGGATTCACTCTACTAGCTGACTTTGTAGAGATAACCCATGTTTATCAAAACAAACTAATGCGGAGGTCACGCAAGGTCGCTCATGTAAATTATTAATCCTTACCGGAAATCCACGAATAATAGGTTTCCACGAAATTAGGTTACACGACTGTATATAATTTTAGGACCAAAAAGTACTTTGACTTAGCTGATAGTGTTAGAGAAATTACAATCAAATTGGGCAAAAGTGTAACTTACAGTTAAAGTGTAACTTGTTACAAACTGGATGTTTAGTCGGGATATCCACTGCGAACTTGTTATGAAAGATTGGTTGCTAGTCCAAATCCAATATCAATCACAAAAAGGTCAGATTTCAACTTTTTATTTTCTTCAGAGAAGCTCAGTCAAAGATGATACAAGATAGAATAACAGCTATAGAACGTCATCTTGGTACTTTATGTGATACATTATCATCCTACACAAGAAAAACAGCAAGACTTAGAGACAAGGGTGTGTTATTTCTTAAATATGTCCTAAGTACCGCCTCCAGTATGCCTATGCAAAACAATGTTTTAGTGCTGGGAGACTGTGCTAAAGATGAGTGAAATGGATTTTACTTTTGTCCTCTCATAGCATTGATATTATGTTTTTTGAATGTAATTGTTTAGTGTTTAAGTGCCATTATATGCAGTTCTCAATTGGGCCTACAATGAGATGAGTTCAATAGCCTATTTAGATACTAATAGGCTTCTATTGCCCACTTATTCACAAACCTTGACAAGTTAAGGTTACTTTACTTTATTTTACAGGTGATCTTTTAGCTAAAGAAATAGTGAATTATGCAGAGTATGAAAAAATTAATCCAACATTAAAGAAAGGGTTGACATCTTTTGCAGAACATCTATCAGCTGTACAAGATTACAGACAAGCTGAGGTGATATAAAGATAATCTGATAATATTGTTTATTTATTTATAAAGTCATAGAACTTACATACATTATTTTCTCAAATTCTTATATCTGAATTTTATTGGTAATTATTCATAATGATATATAATAATCTTACTTATAAAAATTATTTGATGAATTTAGGGGATTAGTAGTAATTAGATATTGATTGGTTTATATTTAAGGTTCAAAGATTAGAAGCTAAATCTGTAACTCCATTAAGTAATTATGGATTATTGTGTAAACAAACAAAGGTAAAGATGATTATGTTTAAAATATGATTAACTGAATGTTGACTTCTTCTTAGCTGTTTTTTATTAAGAGAAGCCTAAATCACAGTGCTTGGTGGTCAAGTCTGCACCCCCCCCCCCCCCCCCCAATTAATATAAGTGCAGAACTATGTACTTATAATGATTTGCACCATTGCAATTGTTTAATCCAAATCTAAATTTTGTTTTCAGAATGAATTGAAATCTGCTTTTGCAGCCCACGATAGAGAACATTCACAAAGGAAGAAATTAGATAAAATACAGCAGAAACATCCTTCTGATCAACAACAGATTGTATCCTTCCCAAACTACCATTTTGCTGACTATAGTTTTTATTCTCATGCTAACTATTAAGAAAATTATTGTTTGTTTCCTCTTTTATGGAAACAGCTCACCGAAATTTTTCCTCTGGCATTATCTAAGTAAAATTAAATAATCTTTGGAAGTAGAATTTTCATTTATGTGACCAGTCAAAAATTCTATTGATCCAAAGAATCATTGAATGGTAAATGTATAAATATGACACATGAAACTCATTGAATATTTGATTTTTAATATTAATCCTTCTGATGTATTGAAATTATTATTCTTTAACATGTTGTTTAGAGACAGGTAATAAGATTAAAAGAGAAGTAGATTTTTTGTTTCATTTGACTGAAAATTATCCATTTATCAGAATATTAATAACAATCAGCTTTAAACCATGCCAATGAATTCTTTAATGTTACTTGATGAGATAAACCAAAAGTTGTCATGAATTTTTTTACTTTATATGATATTATGTATACTACTTATTTGTTTGTACCTCACAGGCCCAGACTGAGCTACAGAAAGCCAGTGTAGATGCTACAAGAACAGAGAGAGCTTTAGAACAACAGATGGAAAGTTTTGAAAGTAAAAAGTTACAAGATATTAAGGTAAAATTTTGGTAATATTTTTTTGACATATTTGAACCAGGACAGACTTTGATTTTAAAATACATAGCACACACCAACACATGTTTTAAAATTTTGCTTTATTGTGAGATGCTTTCTGTTTTGATAATATGATTTGCATGTACCTGATAATGGCAAATGATGTGCAAGAACTGCAAATGTCTGGTAGAAAAAAATGGATGAATTTTTTTACAGAAAGTTCTGACAGATTTTGTGAATATAGAAATGATATTTCATGCCAAGGCTTTAGAAGTATATACCCAGTGTTTTCAAAGTTTATCTGTGATTGAACCAGAGTACGATCTAGAGGTAACTAATCTTTTCTACCCATTTTGATTTTCTGATAAAATATTGGTGATTTTTGATTGTAATGTGTCCTGTCCTTGGGTGATGACAAAAGTTGGATCTTGAATCTAGAGCTAGTGTTCATTTCAGTAAAAACAAGATAGCTGACTATATGATTTCCACCTGATCGGGTTCAAATACAACTGTCTGTGTTACTTTTAAGAATGAAACACATTTGAGAATAAAGAAAAAATTTCAATTTTACCTGCATATGATATTAAATCAGTGGTAACAAAAGACATTGAAATCCCTATATTGTTTTCAGGAATTTTTAACCCAAATTCATCCAAATAATGATTCAAGAAGATTATCAATAGCTTCAACAGCTTCTTCAGCAGACAGACTGACTACTCCAGGATCAACACCAGCTAGTCAACGCAGAGAAGATACTACCTCCTCCCAACAACTACAACAAACACCTAAACAAGTACCTAAACCGAAACAACAAAACAACAGTAACCCATCACAACAACAACAACAGTCAAACACACCAAGCAAACAGAAAGTTAGCACAGTAAAGTCTAAACCTAATAAACAACATCCTTCACCAAGAACTAATGATAAACAAAAACAATCAGATTCACCTGCTAGACGGATTATACCAGTTGGGGTAAGCATAATAAAATAGCCTACATATTATCACCAAGATGTCTGGTCAGACTAATGACTAAAATTCGGATTGTTACCAAAACTTCTTGAAAATGTGCTAGTGACCTGTAGACTAATAATCACGAAGACATCTTGTTAAGAGGCCCCTGGCCTTCATATACCCAAGGCTTCTTGTCAAGGGACAAATGGCCTACATGTTGTCACCAAGACATCTTGTCAAGAGCTACTAGCCTTCATATTCTCACCAAGGCTTTCTGTCAATGGACAAATGGCCTACATGTTGTCACCAAGACATCTTGTCAAGCCTTCATATTCTTACCAAGGCTTTTTGTCAAGGGACAAGTGGCCCACATATTGTCAACAAACTAATGGTCTACATGTTGTCACCAAGACAATTTGTCAAGAGATTAATGGCCTACATCATGTCAAAGGACAAATGGCCTAAATATTGTCACGAAGACTAGTGTTGAAACAGTTAGTGAATTTTACGAACTGGGTAATCGTCGGCAATAACCGTTAGTTACCCGGTTAATTACTAAAGATTATAAAGGGGGTCGGTAACTCATTGTTAACTAAACTAGAGTAAGTCTAAATGGAAGATTTTGGCTAGTTCCCCGCGAATTGTCGTTACATATCGACAGATACCAAACAACCCATTGAAGCGTCTGCTTCAATGTAAGATTAGAGGGTCTGACAGAGTTCAGACGGACTGGCGCCATTGTCACTCATTGCTACAGTCTCTAACAGATCAAAGGTCATTATACCAGTTGTGGGGTCAGTGTAATGAGTGTATTTCATTGAAGTTGCGGCAAATCAGTGTACTGGTTCCACAACTGGTAATAGTGTTTTGATAATTGATACCCTATCTTGATTTATTAATCTCAATTATTCAATGAATAAAGAAAACAACTTAAAGACTCATTCAGTGACAAAATTTCTGTCAAAATTGCTCTCTTTTTACTTCTTATAAGATAAACGGTTAACCGATTATCTCAAATCAGACCCAGTTACCCATGAAATACTACCCGAAATCGGTTAACTGATTAACAGTTTCAACACTAACTAGACATCTTGTCAAGAGATTAATGGCCTACATAATATCACCAAGACAACTTGTCAAGAGATAATTGGCCTACATATTGTCACCAAGACAACTTGTCAAGAGATAATTGGCCTACATATTGTCACCAAGACAACTTGTCAAGAGATAATTGGCCTACATATTGTCACTAAGACAACTTGTCAAGAGATAATTGGCCTACATATTGTCACTAAGACAACTTGTCAAGAGTTTAATGGCCTACATATTGTCACCAAGACATCTTGTAAACAGATAATTGGCCTACATATTGTCACCAAGACAACATGTCAAGAGATAATTGGCCTACATATTGTCACCAAGACAACATGTCAAGAGATAATTGGCCTACATATTATCACACTGTATGACCATCATGAACAATTTCTTGCAAGATTGATTGTTTTACATCTGACAGCATTGCTATATCTTAAATTTTTCTAGACTCTTAAAGATGAAAGTGATGATGATGAAGATTATGAAGATGACAGCGAATGTGATGATGATGATGAAGATGATGATAGTGATGAATATGAAACGACTGAAGCCAGTACAGCTCAGACGCCTCATTTAACTAATGGTACATCTAAGAAGTAATCATTCAACCATGAATGTATTACACATATATCCGTCCTTCTTCCATGATAATCATAGCTTAAACATATACTTTTCACATATCATTGTTATCTGGCATCTTTTGTTGTCCAGGACATTCAATGAGCAATATTTATTTTAGTTTGTGTAGGAAAATTCGAATTATTGTTAATCCTTAGTCACAACAAATATTATTAACCCTTTGCACCCAGGAAAATATGATTTAGGCCCTGAAACCATGATATCCGTTAGCATTGTTGTACCACAAACATGGTTTAGAGACTTTATTATGTTGGTGACAGACCCATTTTCTTTGGAATCACCTGAATGGTTATGAAAATGACACTATA